GTTCACATGTAAGAGGTTAATCTCTCATTCAGAACAATGGAAACCTGTGATCTCTGCACACCTCGTTAGTTCAAATATAAACACCTGTGTAATGGAACACGATGATGTCATCACTCCAACTGACATGCTCAGAGCAGCAGACTTCAGATAGCAGTGTGCTAACAGTCCAGCCGTGAAGACATCTACGGGACAGTTTTGAGATTTCTTCAAATGCCGTTGCCACGGCAACACAATGCTCGCCTTGAAACACGGTTTTCTCATAACTTCAGTGAAAATACTCCAAACAGCCCAGAACTTCACAGGTTTGTTAACGATGCAGCCATCAACGCATCTAAGCGTATTATGGGGTGTCATCAAATGCCGTTGCCATGGCGACAGATCATTCGCCATCAAGTTAGTTCAGAAGTTTGCAGTTCAAATATTCTGCTGCTTTTCCAAGCCTTTTTACTTTATTTTCTTCTCTCATCACACATTCAAGCCCCCTGTGTTCATCTATCATTTCAATCTAAATTATTCACTTTCTTCTTACACATTACATTTCAGCATAGCAGTTTAGCGTCAGCTTTTCAGCATAAAGCATTCCCACTAGCAATTTCTTCAGGAATTGCATTCTCTAGTTATTATTATTATTCATTACATGTTGTCATTTTTATATGATATTTATTTTATTATTTATCTTTTCATGTTGGTCTTACATGTTTAAAAAAAATTGATTAGGCTAAACATGTGATTGTTGTTTGGCTGTCTATCCAAATCAAAACCTACTAAAATGGTAACATCTTTTTACCTTTACTACCTTTTGGAAAAATTGTGTTTGATTACACCCATGAATAAAAATAGATGTATTATAAAAGTTCTGCCCACTTTTATAGATTTTCAAAAATGGACCACTGTAAAAGCTTCAGCCTTATTTTAAGCGAGAGAGTGTCGGTATCCAGGTTCATTAGGATGAATGGGCAATACCCAGTTGCATCATGGGTGAAAGGCCTCTCGTTAGTAAGTTAGATGGAGGTGCTGCTGAGGTGGTGGGCATCGACCAGAACCAGGCATGATATGCATGATGCGTCCAACAACTAAAATAGAGTCTGGAAGATGAGCCAAGTAACACTGAATAACAGAGGAAACATTCACAGTTCATATTTATTATGGTCGTAAAGGGGCAAATAATGTATAGCAGTGAAAACCTTTCATTTTCAGGAATCATATAAAAGCCTGTCTTACTGATGTGTTTCATATTGGGTATATTAAGTGGTTAGAAGACATTTATTTTTAAGTTATATACATTTCTAAAACAAAGCCACTTTGTTCACACCTGTGAAGTGTCAAACTACACAGAACAGATCTCCGCAATGTCACAGCCCAATATTCCCCTTGTTCATAATGAGCACTTGTAGACGTTGTCGCTGTCATTTTCCGAATGCAAATTACCTGCTTTCAGGCTCAGAGGTGTGCAATTCAGCTCTAACTGTCATCTTGAAAGGCAGGACAGAAGGTACACTCCTGCTCGGCTTTAGTCATTTGGCGTCGCTGCAATTTATTATTGTCTGACAGTGACACGTTTTATTGTTGCACAAAAAAAGTTTACAGCTATTGTCAGCTTTATGCAAGCCCCTTTTTCTACAGGTATATTAGTTAGATGGTATTCAGAGTAAAACATGATCAGTTTAACCAAGTAAATAGGATTACATAATGTATAGATGTGATTTCAACTGAAGAATTCACAGCTTACTAAAAAGACACCGACAGTAAAAGGATTTAAAAAGGTTAGATACAAAGACTTTTCTATAATATGTATGTGTAATTGGTGTTGACAGTACTTTGTATGCAGAACGACCCCTCCTCTATCCCAATTAATCTGGTTTTGGTATTGTAGTTTTTTTTTACAAGAGGTCTAATGAAAGGTCTAAGAGAGTTAGACCTCTCGCACATAATATCCCCCAAATACAACACAATTTGTATTTGTCTATGCATAGCCTGCTTAACAAATAAAGAAAATACATATGTACATTACAGTTACAACAATGATTTATGATAATCTCAGTTTTCTTAACCTTCATCAAATATGCATTTTCAGTTTGTGGCAATGGGAATGGTTATTATTCAATAACATTATTGTTCTAATTAAATCAGAAGACATTTTGAAATGGATGTATTGAGAATTATTATTCAAGTTTATTTTTTTACGTGAATAAATGGGGTTTGATATCCCAACAGTCATAAGTACTAAAGCTGATTTCAACTAAATTGATCATTGTAATGCCAAAACATAACAATATGGGAAACCACCATACGGTGAAAAATATAAGTTACAGTATGTTCTATGTTAGTGTTATAAAGTGCATATTATAAAGACATTTATTGGTTATCGTGGCACAAATGATCACCCTTATGTTTGCATATTGCTCTGTTTATCAGCAACTGTACGAATATAACCACATACTGCATCTACATTTTTGTGCCACATGGGTCTGGACTAACATACATCTTCTCTACAGTAAAACTCACAGAAATGATTGATTCTGTTGAGACAAACACTCACAAGAAAAAGGGGAGGATATAAAACAGCTGTATTTACTGAATATAAAGCACCCTTGCTGCTTATATGTCAAATGGTGCCATAGTGTGTGCCACTGTCACCACGGGTACCTAAGTGAATTAATATCATCTGTCACCACTACCTACATGCTCCCTGGTCCCACCCACCCAAGGAAGTGCAGCAGCTCCCCAGGCGAACACATTCCCTCCTTTCCACTTCATCTGTCACAACACACACACACACACACACACACACACACACACACACACACACACACACACACACACCAACACCACACACACACACACCACACCACACACACACACACACACACACACACACACACACACACACACACACACACACACACACACACACACACACACCACACACACAACACAACACATAACACACACACACACACACACACACACACACACACACACACACACACCGACACACACACACACACACACACCACACACACACACACACCCACACACACACCACACACACACACACCACACACACACACACACACACACACACCCACACACACACACACACACGCTGTCTAAATGGCAAACTGACGCCTATTTCATCTGTCACAGTTCTAAGCACATGCACACACACCTTTCTGACTTTGTGAGTGACAAGCATGGCAATATCAAACCATATTCCTCATGGCTGCCATTGCAGAGGCGGAGGAAAAATAACTTTGCTAAAGTAGCCCAACGCGGGGACAAAGGGAGAGATTAATCAGCTAAAGAAAAGGGGGTTAGGAAGAGAAATGAATATCGCAAACCGTTGACAAGTTCATAAATCTTAAGTACAGATGGGAAACATGTGGCAACAGAGACGCCGTTTATTTTTGTCGGTGACGTAAAACAACTCCCATTGGACTTAAAAGCAGGAAATCAACTATGTATATTTTATCACGCCTCATTTAATGTCGTTATTTATTTAATCCTGTTGAGACCGATGGAGGAAACTAATCATCTGAAATGTGCAATTTAGTTGCTAAACATCAGATCGTGTTTGTTGACATTTTTTAAATAATACTGTCACATGGTTCCATTGCACAATAGTGCTTGATTTTATCTCAAAAGTTGTGTTTTGTGATTACAAAAATGTCAGTCTGATAATGATCCACAATAAATCTGGATTTCTAACCACTGTTGTGTTGGTGTGACCGCCACAATAATATTGAACCTTTTCAATACTTACCAAATGTTCATCCATGTCACGTGTTTTGCTGTGTTATTAAATGCAAACAACTCCAGGGTGCACTTTGCTGATTTGCAGTAGAAAGTGTGGAGGGTGATTGATTATAAGACGTTTTTCCTGCAGTTATTCCCTACAATCTTTTGCAGGTTGCAGACAGTTGCAGATCTGCTGTGCAATATTGTGCTCTGACATCTCTTCAATTAGAGACCACAGATGGACTAACATATCTGCTGCCTTCAGATATACAGAGACCAGTGCACAGTGAGGGAAAGGTCTTCAGTACAGGCTTCTAGCTATCATAAGTGACTGGTTGGAATCACTCATCAATATCTATTCTCTAATCCCGGCATTGATTATGTGTCAAGCGTTCGAAGAATGTAGAATAAAGTGGTATGACAAGGATTTATGCCTGCAGTTACAGGTTTAAATAAAAATCAGTATCTTGCTTTGAAGCTGTCCCCCTGCTGGCTCACCTGTCAGTCAAACATGAATATTGTCCCATACCTGCAAATGTTTGTGGGATGGGCATTCTTGTATTTTTTTAAATATTTTATTCTTCATGTTTACATACTAATACATTTGAAAATCCTTTGACATGATTTTTTACTATACAAGATTTGTTTTTTGCATTCATGAAAACATCAGTTTCGTCAAACCCGCACACAATAACAGATTAGCAATCTGGAAAGTAATAATAATAATAATAATATTCTCCCATGATTCTTTATTCATCTTTATTGACTATAGAAATCACTCACTTACAAACAAATAATTATTGAATACAGACAGAATGAGAACCAGGGATATTTTTGGGGAAAAATACTATAAACAAAGAGCATAGGCCTAAATGTTTTTTGAAGCCTTCTTATTTATTTGTGTGAGATCAAATATGTACTGTTAGGTTTCATTTATGTATTATATTAAACGTTCTTAAATAGCTATAGTGGAATTATTGAATGTAATACTTTGCTAAAATAATCATAATATAGATAATGCATTATTAGGGGTAGCCTACATTTCCCCCATGATGCCCTTGGTGTAATGTATCGCGTGAGGTCAAGTGAGGCCAGAAACAGTTAATAGGGCGGGTTTGACTTCAGACGTTACCAGCGTTCTAAGATAAACAAAATTAACCTTTTCACCAAACGACAAAATAAACAAAGACAATTTAGTTGCCTGCAAAAAATAACATGCGTTATTTAAACATGCCACCACCAGGTGCAGCTAGCAACAGTACTAACGTTAGCATAGGCAACCACACGAAGTAGCCTCCGCAAAGCCAGACAGCAAAAACAAATAAACAAGACGAGGCGACGAGGGATAACAAACAGAAGGAAGAGACTGGAGAAACACATTTGGAGACTGTGTTTGTGACAGAAACTGACAATAAACAACAACAAGCCTTGGGAAGTGGATAACCGGAGCAGAGAGGCAACTGAAGCAAGAGGAGCAACATGTGTGGTGACAGAAGATGAAAGGTAAGGTTAAAGTTATTTTACATTGTGGCTGTGCAATGCTATTTTTGAAGACCGTATTGTTATGTGCAATGTGGTTGCACTTGCTCATGTTATATGAAGACGCAATTGATACATTGTGGCTGTGCAGCGCTGTTATACACTCCGTGCAGTGGTTCTTTTCCACTTTGATATGTGCTCTTAACAGTGCATCATGACTTTGTTTACCTTGTGCTTCAAACTGTGGAGGAAACTTCTGTGTAGCAATGCAGTGGGAGTCACCGACTCATGAAGGAGACACGGGACGAGCAGGAGTTCTGATGTCAAACACTGAGATTTAATACAAGCATCGGCCGGAGAAATTCACATCACAAGTCACACAGTCAAAGGTTCTGACTGCACGGGTGGTTTGCCATGTCAAATCTGATCAGCCTCGCATCTTGGTAGACCTTTTAACTAGTTTACAGAGAGTCAAATCCACATATTGGGGATGGGCGTAAACCATGGCGTAAACACATCTGCAGAGGAGATGTCTCTTACCTCATTCACACCAACGCAACTCTGGTTCAAGATCCGTGCTAGAGCTTTTTAGGTTCAGAACCGGTTCTTCGGTTTAGCTCTGGCTCTTTTCACACAGCCAGAGTCCGACTGGTGCTGCGTCATTGCGTCATCGTTTGCGTCACGACGTAACCGTTTGCGTGCCTGCTTCAGCCAAACCGTGCGGATGAAATCAGTTGCATTAATTTCTTATGGCTCTATCTGCAGCTTTTCCGGAGTCATTTCTGTGGTTTAGTTATATTCTTATAAAAAAGTGTACTCGTGTCAATAATTTTTTTTTAAAAACACAACTGCTTCCGAGGTCGGTCTTATTTCTTAAGGTGGACTGAACCATGAGTGTGGAGTAACGTTGTATCTTTCATTTAAATGAACTGTAACCTTCACCCAGGTATGTAACAGCTGTTCTCAAATGAACAAGTGAAGTGAAGTTTAATATTTATAGTTTTATAGATTTATAACGAGTTATAATCTCTGGAGTTTATAAACTAGCGTTCTCACACTCGCAAAACCCTCCCTATGCCCTGTAGGTCAAGCTGTAAAACCTAGTATCAACATACGACTGCATCAACACATTCCTTACGGGAGATTAGAAGCAGGGATGGTCGTACATGTCAACACACAAAATAAAGTTAAATGGCTAAGGAGTAAAGACAACATTAATCCCTAACACAAACTATAGTTATCTCAAATTAAGTGTGGAGAAAAAGTAGTAAATAACTATAGTCAAGATAGGTTGTTAATTAAATGCACGCATATTAAAAAAAGTTAATTCACCTCATATTGTCTGTGTCTTGGCCAGAAAGTTGCACTTGAACACAACAGCAAACTAATATGCACCTTCTGCGATTGCATGAGAAAAAATACCTCTCCGAGTCCATACCAGCAGATGGGTATCATGGGGGTAGTCAGTATTTGTCATTCAAAAAGGCCAACCAGACATTTGTTATCGGTGTGTCATGGCCTTTTTCCAGCCCCGGGACAATCATTGTTGTTGAGCATTTCTGCACATAATCATTGGCTATAATGAACAGGTTGTTTGCATTGAGGGAGTGTGCGTCAGTATGACATAATCCCTGAGTTTTTCAGCACTTCTGCTCATGTGTCACATCCCTGCACTCTGGGGTGTCCCTTACACTCATTACTGTTTGTGTACAGCTCCCCAATTTTCTGTGCAAATTCAATATATCTTGTCACAGCTGGAAAGCCGTGGCAAGCATAGCTACAGTACAGCTAATGATCTGCGGGAAATACTGTGAGCATGCTGGCAACATAAGTGGGGGGAAATGTCAAGCTGTATTTTCCTAAAACTTTTGTTTTTACAACAAAATAACCATGGAATCATTACCTTTTGTGTATTTATCACAGGCAGCATGTATATATATAGTTATTTAAATCTTGGGTATTTTTGCATTAGTATACTTAGTTATTCCTTCCTTGTGCTTTTACAGCCAGCATTTGTAGTTCACTTAGATGACTCAAGTTGGATTTTGGAATTACTTTGATGTGATTATTCTGTTTGAAGCCCTGCTGCTGCTGTGTTTGCAGCTGGCTGCTTTTCAACAGTCACGTCTTTTAAATAGAGCTATTATTTAACAAATTCAGCTCAGCTACAAGTTAATGGGCTGAGATGGATAACAGTGTAGCAGGTAAATTAATTAGGAAGGCGGCGGAATTGGTTTTTTAAATAGAAATACAGTTTGGATAAAGTCCACCGGGAAACTGTTATAGTGATTCTGACCATGAGAACTGACTCCTTCATCTGCAGTACTGCCAAGTGAGCAAACAATAAATATGGAATTAATCAATGCCAAAACTGTTAAATTGCTTGTAAATTAAGTCTCACTATTGATTCAAAATTCATATCCGTGTTTACTCTGACTCTGTAATTGTTGTTTTCGGGAAGTAAGGTGCTTCTCATTTCCACACTCCAGCACAAACTGTAACAAACAAGTTATTCTGAGGTCGTCTCGTCTCACACATTCAAATTATCGATACGTCCACCCACCTTTTAAACCGCTCATCCTGTTCAGGGCTACATCATCCTATCCCATTGGGTGAGAGGTAGAGTACACTATTATAGGGCTAACACGTACAGACAGACAACCATTCACACCCCACAGTCACACATACGGGCAGTTCTCCGCTTCACTTCATCTGCATGTCTTTGGACTGGGGGAGGAGACAGTAGGGCAGGGTTCCCCAATTATATTTACCAAAGGGCCAATTTTTGTCAAGCATGACAAACTAAGGGCCAAAATGTTATGTGTCACTAAAAGTTGTTTTACACTATGTGCAGATCTTACCTCTATTATAATTGTTGTAGTAGTGGCAGTAGTAATTAAACAAACCCTATATTGAGAGTAAAGGAAAAATGCATCCTTGAAACAAAATTAGACCGAAATCAAATATTTATTAACACTAATAATAAATAAATGCTTTAACAAATACAAATGATTTTGCCGTGGTCTGATGGGGCATAACAATAAAACAGGTCCACATCCAATTCAGCAAACACTGTAACACCCACACTGGGAAAGACAGGAAGACAGAGAGAGAGTTTCAGTTAGTTACTTTTATAATGTCATACCAAAATACACCGCATTATTAGTTTTAACATTTTTAAATATGTGTACCAAACTATATCAGGCTGTAAATAATAAATAGTATTGGGTTTTTTTAACTTTATTTGTAATATATTATTTTAATGTTGTATTCAATTTGACCAGTTTGTGGGCTGTTGTTAAAAGCCCTGCATTATCCAAGGTTTTTGCTCTCTCATCAATAATTTGTTTTTAATTATGCTGCATAGCATTTTATTTAGGAAATTAATGTATAGATAAAATATAACTATAAAATGGTTATTTTTGTCTTAATAATTATTATTCCACAATAGAATTGACAAATTGCAAAAATAAATTGATGTTGTTCACTCACCAATCAGTGAGAGAAGTGAGAGCGGCGGGATGAGGCAACCTGTCTGATGTCGGGCTTGTATTCTGTTGTGGCAATCCTGAGGCACTGTCCAAGATGTGCACTAGAGAGTCTGTTCCTGTCCTGGCTTTTGATAGCATTCATTGAAGAAAATCCTGATTCGCAGATATATGTTGAGGGGAACATTGTGAGTAGGAACATAGCAATAGCTCTGGTGTTTTTGAAACGAGCTTGGGGAACCACGTTGATCCAAAAGTTGCATCCTTGTGTTGAGCTTTCAGCAACTCAGAGCTTCCTATCTCTAAGACCTCCATCTGAAGAGCTCCCTCTTCTATGGAAGGCACCAGCCTTTTGGCCTCTCCAGTCCACTGCCCGTCTGATGACACAGAGAACGGCTGTCTGAGGAAGAGGAGGATGTCACCTGAGATTTTAGGGGAGCTTTCAAATCGCTCCTTGAATTTTTCCACACAGTTTTGCGCACACCACTGATTTGTGAATGATGCAGTGAAATGTCAGAAGCGCCGGGTTAACGGCGGAAAGCCTGCTTACCAAGCCTTTGTGCTTTCCAGCCATCGACGGAGCCCCGTCGGTTACTACAGAGACGATTTGACTCGCATTCAAACTATTCTTTTCGAAGAACTGTGTCAGCTCGTGCAAGATTATTTCCCCGGCCGTGCGCCCGGGCAGAGTAAGCAAACACAGCAGCTCTTCCCGGAATATCTTCCCATCAAAAAAAATTGTACGAACACAGACAGCTGTTCCATGTCGGTTCGATCACAGGACGAGTCTATGGCTAGGGCAGGGGTCTGCAACCTTTTTGACCCAAAGAGCCATTTTGCTCCTTTTTCCAAAACATTTTTTTGTCTGGAGCCGCAAAACATATTTCATAGTTTTTTATTGTTATATCAGACAAAAACTACAGTTTTTTTGCATTTATTAGGCTATTTATTACATGATATAAAACTGTTAACCTCTAATAAGAAACAAATAACTCTTATAAGGAGAATTACATATAATACACAGGCCTACTTTAAAATAAATTAAACACAGCACTTAGGGAGTCCTCTGCACATTTGAAGGAAAATGTGCATTATCCATTATTAAAATGGGCCCACTTTGAAATAAATAAAATATATAGCTGCACCCTAAAAAGAGTTAAAGGTAGGGTAGGTAAGAATGGAGAAACCAGCTCGAGTGCGCTAGAATTTGAAAGTACACAACCGGAAAAAATATGCCTCTTCCTTCAGACTTCCTTACAGAGCCACTCCTCCAACACACACGAATGCGCACATGACCAATGAGGGCACGAGATAAGTTTGTGCACAGATGGAAGGCTGACAGGCAGGTAGGCCATCCAGTTATTTTAGCCGGGCCGACTCAGATGATTGGTCGTGCTTTTTATAGTACTACGGCTTCCAGAGATACATTTTTGTATGTATTTATTGTCAAAGCATTTAATATATTCATTGCTATCGGGACGTTAAGAGCATTCCATGGAATATAACAAAGTGTTTTCCACACTAGTGGAAAAGGGA